CTGCCCGCGGGAGAGCGGCGCGAACAAGCTGAGGAGCGGCCCGTCCTCTGAAGCCGGGGCAGGGCTGCGCTACCGGCTCCCGCCGCTCTCCCTCTGTCAGCGCCCACCCCCCAGGCGGAGCCGGTAGTGGGGCCCTGCCCCGGCTGCAGAGGACGGGCCGCTCCTCGGCTTGTTCGCGCCGCTCTCCTGCAGGCAGCGGCCACTTCCCCCCCAGCATTTTGCCGTCCCATACATTTTGCCGCCCTAGGCACCAGCTTGTTTAGCTGGTGCCTAGAGCCGCCCCTGCTCTCCAACCCCCCAGATATTTTGATTCCATTTTGCTTCATTAGCAGACAATTTCACACAAAATTATGTTTAAACAACAGTTTGGTGACCTTAGCTGCCCTTGTTTGGGCAATGCAAAGTTAAGGCAGATGCTTTTACATGTCAGTATGAGACCATAAGAACATAAGACCGGCCATACTGGGTCAGACCAAAGGTCCATCTAGCCCAGTATCCTGTCTTCCGACGGTGGCCAATGCCAGGTGCCCCAGAGGGTATGAACAGAACAGGTAAACATCAAGTGATACATTCCCTGACCAAGTATGAAGTTATTTAAACATACTATATAACTTTATATTTTCCTTAGTTCAATACAAGTACTCACTTGCCAAACAATATTGTGTTTATTAAGTTCTAATGATGTTATTTTAACCACTTCTTCATTTGCATGTATTCCTAAGAAATGCCTCAGAATACTAAATTATTTTTCTAATTAGTATGCTAATAATATAACTAAACATACACAGATTGTAATAGGGATGAAAAGCCTCAGCCTTCTGACAATTTTAAAAACCTGGTTCCAGAATCAACTAACAGGCAATAAGGCTTTTAACTTATCCAACTCGAATAACTGGCTATAAAACAACAAATTAGACTTTAGAGGTCCAATTATGACAAATCTCCTGTAATTAGAGTTACATCCATTTTATCAGAGAAGAGTATTTGAGCATAGCGATAATTGATGCTGACTCACAAGTGATGAACAAACTTACCTCTTGTTAAATTAATGTATGTACGACAAACCTGAAAAATATTCATCCTCCAAATCCAGTGAGAATTTACAATTCAGTGCTGTCATAAACATACAGCTAAAGGGAGCATAAAATCCCTCTTTACCCTGTAAAGGGTTAATTCCTCTTTTACCTGTAAAGGGTTAAGAAACTCAGATAACCTGGTTGGCACCTGTCCAAAAGGACCAATAAGGGGAGAAGATACTTTCAAATCTGTGGGGGAAGGTTTTTGTTTGTGTCTTTGTTTTGTTCTCTCAGAGTCAGCAAAGGAACCAGGGCAAAGCAAATACATCTCCCTAAGCCATATCTGGACTAAGCATCTAGTATTGCAGAAATAGTAAGCAATAGCAAATAAATGCATTAGATTAGCTTTTGTTTTAGCTTGTTAATTTTCCCTGTGCTAAGAGGGAGGTTTATCCCTGTTTTTGTAACTTTAAAGTTTTGCCTAGAGGGGAAATCCTCTGTGTTTGGAATCTTTTTGTTACCCTGTAAAGTTATCTTCCATCCTGATTTTACAGAGGTGATTCTTTTATCATTTTTTAAAATAAACTTCTTTTAAGAACCTGATTGTTTTTCAGTGTCCTAAAAAACCCGGGGGGGGGGGGGAGGCGGGGGGGGTCGATCTGTGCTCACTTTGTAACCAATTGGTTAGGATATTATTCTCAAGCCTCCCCAGGAAAGGGGGGTGTAGGGACTTGGGGGGATATTTTGGGGGGAGGTAGGGCTCCAAGTGGCCCTCCCTGAATGTTTGCTTAAACCACTTGGTGGTGGCAGCAATCAAGGACAAGGTGGAACCTGTGCCTTGGGAAAGTTTTAACCTAAGCTGGTAAAAATAAGCTTAGGGGGTCTTTCATGCGGGTCCCCACATCTGTACCCCAGAGTTCAGAGTGGGGAAGGAACCCTGACAAGTGCATTGGCAATTTTTTACCCCAGAAGACCACTAAAACACTCTACAGGGTTACAAAGTCAAAAATAATCTTTAATATTTCAAAACACAGGAGAAAACCAATCATTTTACAAGAGTAAATGTTTACTTATTTCTGTGGTATTGACACTGCACAGACATTGTTTACTAAAACCATAACCTTTTTAGAGCATTCAATGCCAATTGGGGAAAAAAATTACTCCCTTCAGTATGTGAACAATTTGATTCTCTTACAAATGCAGAAGGAATTTATATGTATAACTACTTTTAAGAGATAATAAGATTTCCCTCCAAGTGTGCATCATTTGAAGAATGGAATTTACAATTAACACAAGCAAAATAAAGAAACCAATGACATACAGAAAAGCAAAACAACAAAAGATGGCAGGAAAAAATGAAGTATGAATAAATTCTCGCTACTTGCAAATGTCAAATCTTCCATAATTTTCAATATTGATGAAAGTAGGCAAAAAAGAATCTCTGATTCAGAGGAAAATATATCCCAGACTGATTGAGGAATATAAATAAAACAAATATCTTCACGAAAAATAATTAGTAACAGTTGTTCAGGTTCATATTCCACCAATACAAACATGAAAATCCAGGAAATCCCTCGTTAATGGTCTGATCCTGTTCCTGACTTCAATGGTGCAGGATCGAACCCTGAAACTTCAACTATCCCTTGCAATTTATAGCCATGATTTCACCTTCTCCATGTTGCCACAACCACATCATAGCATAAGTGCCTCCATCCTCCACTTCCACACAAAACATGCAACTTTTAATTGCAACATGTTGACTGGTTTAAAATGGATGATTTACAATTGTTCAGAATGTTGAATTGATGTTTGTGGAAGTAGCTGGTTAGTGTGCATGACAATGGAGTTTTTTTAAACTGAGAGCTAGATTTAAGTGCTGTGTTACAGTATGGTAAATGGAAAGAATTGTTTTAAGTGGAAACAGTCTGTAATAATGTTTATCATTTTGGAAAGTTTCCATTTTTAATATTTCTAATTGTTTGATTTAGCTGATGTAAGTGAAGGAGTATGGGATGTTATGTTTTTTCAATAGCTGATGTTTGTGGTCAGAGTTAAGGTTGCATGTTCCATGTGGAGACTGAAGAGGTATGTGAGTTGTGACTGTGAGTAATAATAATCATCTAAAGAGGGCAAAATCATGGTTGTAGATTGCAAGGTATGGCTGAAGACCCCCTTTAGGGATGAGCTTTTTCCTAAACTTAGAAAGATCAAGAATATCAAGCTCTCTCTTCTGTGTTTTTCTGCAGGACTCTGTGGCAGACTGGAATAGGAACAGCTCTCAACTGAAGAAGTGAATTTGCAGAACCTTTTACAAAGAGAAATATTTCCTCCCAATTACTTATCAGGCATTTGAGTTAGGTAGTGTAAACATAAAATAAAATAAAATAAAATAAAATAAAATGTTTTTAAAAGGGCTGACTAAAAAAATTCCCTTGTCAGTTGCTCAAGTTTTGCTCTCCTACTCCTATGACCTCATAAGTCTTACTAGTCCTCCAGTCATCTGGCTTTGTGTATGGTATGGATTTTTTTTAGCAAAAATGTTCTGCCATTGCTAACTCCAGCAGGGATCCACGACGAATATTGACCGAAGGGGCACTATCATAGACAAGGCTCCCACAGCCAATGACTCTTTAATACCATGTTGTCCAACTCAGCTTATGAAAGTTCTAATCAATAGGTTGTTTAAAAATGCTGGCAGCTGTAAGGATTTTGGCTTGGAGCTGCACTGAAGTTAACAATTTAAAGACAGGAATTTTTTCTCAACAACCCCCAGCATAGTCCAGAAATATCAGTATGCTAATAGTATAAATAAACATGCACAAGTCTTCTAGGAGTAAGAGTGGACAGACCAAGAGTGGACAGACCTGAATTTCTAATGTAAGAGTAGGCAGGAATAAAACAAAACAAAGAAGACTTACATTTAAAAGTCATATAACTTCCAGTCTTTGTTTATATTTCAAAGAAACAAAAAGGGATAAAATAAAAAGTTTTCCACTTTGTGGGTTCCCTTTAAAAACATTGTTTGAATCAGATGCATTGAGATAGAAAAGGAGAAAAGTTAAAGAAGTTTTCAGCAATGTCTGCATCTCAGAATCAAAGCCATGCCACTATACAGGCCACAAAAGAACGTGAAACTTGCTGGACAGTGAAAGAATTGTGGGGTAATACCATGACTTTTTCCTACATATCCAGCATTGTTTGATTTAAAAAAAAATAATATATATATATATATATATACATCACCTAGGAATAGCGGAGTAGTTTCTTCATAAGTAACATCATTAGTCTCAGCTCCTGCCTCCAAGAGAACATTGATGCTTTCCAAACATCCATTATTTGCAGAAAGATGTAATGCACATGTACCCTCAAATGTCTTTGATTTTATGTAGTTATCAGATGGAGCTAAGAATAAGGAGAATTAAAAAAGATGTTTCTAACATGAAATTCTAAAAAGGACAGTCACTTACCTTACAGGATTCCTGTGCCTTGGATCCCCTCATAACCCCCACCCAAGGGCACAAAGGGTGAAGCAGGCTCAACCATCCCTTAGTTCTTTCACCAAGACACAATCCAGATGGTATATGACTCCATGGTAGCAGAGAACAAGGGCAGGTTGTAGAATCCATGCAGACAATACCTCTCTAGAACCAAAGTTATTGTAAGGTAAGTAACTGTTCTTTCTTCTCTGAGTGATTGTCCACATGGATTCGACTTCTGATGACTAGCAAGACCTCATAGTCAGGAGGTTGGTATTAGAAGTCCTATTTAAATAATGACTGCAGGACAGCTTGGCCAAGGCAGGCATCAGATTTTTGAGGTTTCAACTGAGGAATAGTGTTGGCTGAAAGTGTAAACTGCATCCCACATAGCTGCCCTGAAAATATAAAATAGGGATCCTTTTCAAAGAAGCTGCAGAAGCTGCCTGAGCCCTGTTGGAATGGATTCTAACTAGCATGAGTGGATCTAAACTACCTATCGCGCAGCATGATTTAATACAGTCTAGGCCAGGGGATCTCAACTTTTTTTGAATCAGCCCGCCCTCCCGCCAATTTTATTATTTTTTAAAACTTGGAGTCTTCCATCCCCCTCATTTATAAAGTGGGATGTTCCAGTGTAATCTAGGTGAAACTGGGGCCATTAATATATTGATCTCAATAAAGGAATCAGGCCTTTGATTCTGCTGTCTAACCGTGCACAGGCTAGGAAACCTTTTAAAAGCGCATACATCTAAATATTTGCAAAGTTTCCAGGCAGTAATTCTCAGCTTCAGCATCAGAGTGCTGGTGGGCACTGTGACCTTCTGTGCCAAGTCACAATGCCATCAGATGGAGGGGCAGCCAGGCTGAATTTGGGTGAGTGGCATTGCAACCCAGTAGGTTAGTGGGAAAGCTCACTGTGACCCTTTAGAAAGTTTGACACTAACACTGCCGTACTGATTTAGACCAATGTTTCTCAATGGCAAGTCTGTGGACAAGCGCCAGTCCCCAAGATCTCTCTGACACAGCAAGCCAGTCCCTGGTATCAAAAAGGTTGAGAAACACTGATCTAGACAATCTTTGGATAGCTATTGTCTGACTATTCACCCTATCTGGAAATGCTACAAATAGCCTGGCGAATTCCTGAAGGGTCTTTTCTGCTGAAGTAATATAAGAGAGCACTAACCACACTAAGGGGTCCAGTTTGGCTTCCCCTTGCTTTGAGTGAGGCTTGGGAAAGACAAGCAGCAGGTGAATCACATAATTTAAATGACAATCTGAGATCATTTTTGGTAAGAACTTAGGGGGAGTCACTGTCTTTATGTAACAATGTAAGGAAGACTACCCAGGAGTAGGGTTACCATTCGTCCGGATTCCCCCGGACATGTCCGGCTTTTTCGGGTTAAAAATAGCATCCGGGGGGAATTTGTCAATGTCCGGACTTCCCCTCCTCCCCTCCTCCCCCATGCAGAGCGTGCGCACGGCTTACAGAGCAGCCGGGGCTCCCACAGCCAGAGCCAGAGCCAGAGCCCTTCCTGCACTTCTCTCCTGAAACTTGACACCACTCCCCTCCTCCCCCTCCCTCCCTGCATTCACTGATCGCTAGTCTGGAGCTCCGACCCTGCTGCTCTCCCCCGCTGCCGAGCGCGCTGCTCTGCAGCACAGTAAGGGGGCCGGGGGCCAGAGAAGCGGCAGGGAGGTTCTGGGGTGGGGGGGGTAGTCAAGAAACAGGGAACAGGGGGGAGGGTTGGATGGGTCAGGGAGTTCAGGGGGGGCTGTCTGGGG